TTTTCTGTACCCATATATTCCTTTTCCTGTCAAGGAAATATATGTGGATTTGTGTTAATACCACTGTCTAACACCTTTTAGAGGAGTTTTAATGTTTTATGTGATATATTTCATCCTTAGAATTTGGGGTGGGTCTAGATTTAGAAAAGTGTTTTGGTTGGAATGATGAGGCCCTGGATCTCAGCAGGCTTCAGGGTTGGAAAAGTTGAAGCTTACGGGGAGAGCAAATAAACATGGTCTTCAAAGCTGGGAATTAAGATCTGTTTATTCACCTGCACACTTGAATTAAATCTCATAGAAATAGGCTGAACCATTTGACTTATTAAGATCCTGACAAAATAAATTACTCTAGTCATGTTTAAAGGTCTAATTTTTGCTTAGCTTTAGATATATAGAGACTGGTGTGTGTGTCTTAGTCGCTCAGTCATGTCTGACTCTTTGCGACCCCATGGACTATAGCCTGCCAGGCTCCTCTGTCCATGGAATTCTCCAGGCAAGAGTACTGGAGTGGGTTGCCACATCCTCCTCCAGGGGATCTTACCGACCCAGGGATTGAACCCAGGCCTCCTGCATTGCAGGCAGATGCCTTACCATCTGAGCTATTAGGGAAGCCCAGAGATTGGTGTAGTCACCATATGATGGATGAAGAAGTTCTTGTTGAATTTAGCTGCTGATTTATAACATAGAGGAGACCAGGATAGTTGACACTGGACAGTGGTTAATTAAACCAAAAAATTTGTTTGAGGTTTGGGCCATGAAGCTTCAAACTGCAAAAATTGCATGCGTTCTTATCCTTCAGCTTTGAGGAGCACTGCTGAAGGTTGGGGCAAGGGAAGAGAGAGCACTTAAGGCTGGGTGTGGCTCATATCACTTTTGTTTTAGGAGGGTTCCTCTTATGTAGGGTTATAAAGATATCTAAGATATGGACTCAGGTAAGTATTCCCTACTTCATTTTCATTGTCAGTTAAAGTTCAAGTAAATAAAGCAGTGCATTTACTGATTTTAAGAATACCTTTTAAAAAGTGTGGAGTAAAGTTTGTTGACTCTGCAATCTTTGTGGTCAAGATGAAAGTTGACTTCTGATACATAAAAACAAAACAAAACAAAAAGCCTTTAATTTATAATGATTCTCTTAGCTCTGTAATTCTCTTTTCTCCATCCTTCTGACTATGGAGTGTGATTTATAGTGATAGCTCTGGGTTTAACTTTTGAACTTAAAGTAAGTATAGCTTCACTTTTACTTTGTGATGACTGTGGTCCAGAAAACCTTCTCCTTGAACTATTTTGCTACATATGTAAATCTTCCAAGTTCTCTTTTTACTTATGAAGCTAAGTTTGGGATTTGGATAACCTTGATATTACCTTTTCATATTTGAAGTTAAGCTGCAGAGCAAAAGGCAGCGGTGAGCTACTGCAGAGGGTTCTGCAGTGCGGGGCTGCCTGTTGCTGAGCTCCAGCCAGCGGCTCCTGTCTTTGCCTTGGTCTCCTGGTTGTTCCTACTTAAAGGCTTTTTTTTTTTGGTTTTCCCCACAAGAGTCATAAATTACATCTCCAAATATCATGCCATAAGGGTCTTTCTGCTTAAGGTGGGTTATGTTCTTAGACAGCCCTGAAAATTAAAATGAGTTGGATTCTCCCCGGTCACCACTTCCTCTGCCAAAGCCACTTCATCCATCATAGAGCTGCCGAGTCTTTCTGATTCTGCTCACTTCACTCATGTTCTGCACCCTGCCCACCCTACTCTGTCTTTACCTCCTCCTTACATGGAAGTTTGTCTGTGTCCCAGTTTTTGAAACTTATATACTCATTCCTTACACCCTACTCTGAACAATAATAACAAAATCTTAGAATAAAACCTCTTCAGAGGCATCTGGAAACATTGCAAATAGTCTAGGCTTATTTCCAGGGGCTTCACTGATGGCTCAGATGGTAAAGAATCCATCTGCAAGACAGGAGACCTGGGTTTGATCCCTGGATTGGGAAGATTCCCTGGAGAAGGGAAAGGCTACCCATTTCAGTATTCTTGCCTGGAGAATTCCATGGATAGAAGAGACTGGTGGGCTACATACAGTCCATGGGGTGTCAAAGAGTCAGACATGACTGAGCAACTAATACATTCACTTTCACTTTTTATTTCCAGTCAGCTATGTGAAAACGCTTTATAAATCGTAATTATTTCATGAGAGTAAGGCATAACGGAAACCTTAATGATGAGAATAAAAGCAGAAAAACTGACCCTATTGTAGAATGGAGAGAGTAGAGAAAGATAGGTGAGGCAGAGGGTGGGGTGGCTAGGGTGTCTAAGCTAGAGGTAGCAAGGGCCTGACCTATAACAAGATTAGTGGAAATCACAAGAATAAGGGTTCAGATTACATCTTCAGAAGACATTATCATGGGAGCTAGAAGAGGAAGAAAACTTTTATTAATGACCCAGCCACAGGAGTTGGGAGGACCAGAGACTGAGACTGAGGTCTTGAATTGAGGCTCTAAAAACTGGTTGTGGTCTTCATAAAAACAATGTTGGGCATAATTAAATGGATGGTGTTGGTAGGTAGCTGCTGCTGCTGCTAAGTCGCTTCAGTCGTGTCTGACTCTGTGTGATCCCATAGACGGCAGCCCACCAGGCTCCGCTATCCCTGGGATTCTCCAGGCAAGAACACTGGAGTGGGTTGCTTGCCATTTCCTTCTCCAGTGAAGGAAAGTGAAAAGTGAAAGTGAAGTCTCTCAGTTGTGTCCGACTCTTCGAGACCCCATGAACTGCAGCCTACCAGGCTCCTCCATCTATGGGATTTTCCAGGCAAGAGTACTGGAGTGGGGTGCCATTGTCTTCTCTGGTTGGTAGGTAGAGGCTACAGATAAAACTGACACTTCCAAGAAACATGAGTGATATTGGTCTGGTTCGTTGGTAGGAGAGGATGCTCACGACCTGATGAAATTTGAGCCAGTTATTATACTTCATGTAAAGTCTGATCACAGTTATGAAAAATCCCAGTTACATATTATAAATGTTATATAAGTGTTCATATATAAAGCAGTATCTGGAAAGTTTGTTATTATTTTATTAGGAATTCTAGGAGGTGATTTTCCACTTGATTTGGTTCTTTTTTTTTTTGCTCCACAGTTGCAGGTTAAAGAAAATAAGTGGTAAATAAGAAATTAGTTGGGAAGCACAGATAGGCTTGCAAGAAAAAGTCCATAAAATAGATTCGCTATGTAGATTAAAGCAGTTGAACAGTTGATAGAACAAAGTCCTAGAATAGGTGGTAAGAAGCAGATCTCAATGGCCAATTCAAATGGTTATCTTGGCCTTGGTTTCTGATCCTGAGTACCTTAGTTCTTTTTTGGCTCCTTCTCTGAAATGTTAGGTTAAGCTCTTGTTTGGGGGATCTCTCTGGAGGAGAGACTGTAAGAATAATCAGGGAACCCAGGAGAAGTGGGAAGAGAGTGTTTGTGGAACTGAAACCTAGGAAGAACTGCTCCAGGTAGCAGTAAATATATTAGGTACTGAATCATTTTAAGTAAAGGACAGGTGTGGTATACAGTGTACTTCATTGTATTGCTGCTAATCTGAATACTGAATACTGTTTATTTCTTATTCAATAAAGATTATTGTAGGGCAAATAGGATTGTAGTCTCAATGAGAAAAGTTTCAATAATTGATGAATTTTCTATTCCTTCTTAAGATTTTTGTGGGTTAACTCAGTAAGATGAAGTCAGTGTGGCCTTATTTATCTTGCTGTATTTATGACCTTGCTTGGTATAAGGATAACTAAAAGTTACATGAATTTTTCATATTTTAGAAATTATACTGGGATTTCAGGTTGTATCATTTTTGAATTTTATACCAGGACTAGAAACAGAATGTTTTCTTTTAATTACCCTTTTTGTCATTAACTGTAGTGAACTTCATGAGGTTTATATATTTCAGATGCTATTTTTTTTCTTACATGTTTCTTACCTTTTGTGGCACAGTTCTTTAAACCTATTTTTTAGCTAAGTCCCTCTCCCAGTCTACCATTCAACTTGTCCATGAAATTTTTTTCACGTTTAGAGTTTTAATTTCTTTCTCATTTGCATATTTTATGATACTGTTTCTTCCTGCGTGATTTCCAGTCATTCCATCCCTTCCAATACTCTAAAGATACTCACTTTAAGATTATTTTCATATTGTTCTTTTTTATTCTTTAGGTATAAAATCTCTTACTCAGACTGATGTTTCTCCTGGGGTTTGCTTGCACATGTGATTTGTTCATTTTGCTATTAAGGTGGTTTTCCTTGAAAGTCCCACGTGTCAGGGTTGTAGAAAATTTCTGTAGGGTCATTTGTCATTTCATACTTTTTTTTTTCCTTTGTGGATTTTCCTGGATCTAATCTCTTGACTTAGAAACCCCATACTACATTGATGATCTGAACTTTGATCCCACACTTGGATGTCTCGTAGATTTGGTGTAGTTATTTCTCATGGGCTATATTTTTCTCTCTTCCTGTATGCCCCCTAATCCAGGGTTGGAAATGTTTTCTCTGGCCAGTTGGAGTTGGGGCTTCTAATACTTGTTTCATTGACAAACAGCCTTCATGACTCCAGTCTACACAGAGCAAATGTTAACTCTTTACATGCATACTTCTTTATTTATTTATATTGAAGTATAGTTGACTCACAATACTCTTAGTTTCATGTCTACAGCAATGTGATTTGCCATGCATGTTTTCTTGGTCCGGACTCGGGACTCTGCCATGAGATCTGCCTCTGTCTGCTTCAGCATCTCCAGCCATTTAGTTTGAGTTTTCAGCCTCAAGTCTGCCTTTGGGTTTCCTCATTGCTGCTAAGTTTGGTTGTGCTTTAAGCTTTTTGTTTGTTTTAAATGGCAAGTGTTCTTTTGCTTAGCATTTCTGTATGATTAGAGCAGAAGGAAAGGAGACACTTGTCTTTTCAGCATGTTGTGCTGACCAGAAGTCTGACCACATTCATATTTAAGTATGCATTCTTTCTTCTTTTACAGCTAGTTATGTATCAAATCCCATTTGCAAGGGTTGCTTGTCTTGTTCAAAGGACAATGGGTGCAGCCGATGTCAACAGAAGTTATTCTTCTTTCTTCGAAGAGAAGGCATGCGCCAGTATGGAGAATGTCTGCATTCCTGCCCATCCGGATACTATGGACACCGAGCCCCAGATATGAACAGATGTGCAAGTAAGCAGTTGACTTTTGTCCACCCTATTTTACTGCTTATGCAACTTAGGGGGAGTTAAAAGTTGAAAACTTCAATTAAGTATGTTTTTAATATACTACAGAAATAGTTTAAGCTTAAACTTTAAAAAAATGAGTGGGGTGGGAAAGAACACTTTATCTTTTGTATAGAAATGTATTGTCCATGGGGCTTCCCTGGTGGCTCAGTGGTAGAGAATCCACTTGGCAAAGCAGGAGACATGAGTTAGATCCCTGGGTTGGGAAGATTCGCTGGAGAAGGGAATGGCAACCCACTCCAGTATTCTTGCCTGGAAAATTCCATGGACAGAGGAGCCTGGCAGGCTACTGTTCATGGGGTCACAAAAGAGTTGGACATGGCTCAGTGACTAAACAATGAATATTGTACACATACTTTAAGATTACATAAGTACTTTTTCATAACATGTATCTTGGAAACAAACATGGTAGGCAGATCTTTGTAAGACATACTTGCTTAGCACTTATCAAAAAATAAAAGACTTGAAATACCTTTATATTGGGAACATCCTCTTGAATTTTACCGCAGTGTCTGCAGCTTCTTTTTCCTCTTATACTCAAGTTTGTAATACCTGAATTAGTCTAAATCTGTAATTTAAGCACCATTACTGATAAAAGATGTCATGAAAATATTTAGTTTACTTCAAAGTATTCTAAGTTTAGGAATTACAAACAAAAAGATCATTAGGGGATGTCACTCTATGGACAGGAATGTAAGTACAATTTTTTAATCCCTAAATCATTTATCATTATAGCATGATTCTCAACTTCTAGGTAAATGGTAGAAATTGGAGTTTAAAAAAATGCAATAACAAAGGAACATCCCTTTTTTTTTAAGGAGCACAAATTTTAGAGGATAGAATGGGTAAGGAGAAAGGGAACATGGAGTGAAATGACAGATGAGTAAGAAGTTTAATCATAATTCAATGTACTAAGCACTGGATCAGCAGGCAACCAGTGTGTTATGGGAGTGACTTAATTACCTCTAACACATGGTGCATGACTATTAAATCAGCTGAGGTCTTTAGATAAGAAGAGTGTTTGAGTTTTATCATCCAAGGACAATGTTATTTTGGAAGGAGGCACAACTAATAGAGGAAGATTAAATAGAATCTGGGAAGAAGAAACAACGTGTTTAAAAACATAATGTGTTTGGGCAATGAGAGGTCTCATTTGTGGTACTGTTGGCATCTTGACAAGGCACAAGTCCTGCACTGCTGGTCACTGAGCATTCTTAGTCTCTGCTCCTTAAATAATCTTCATTCCCCCAAATCACCACAACAATAAAAGTTATCCCCAGACATTTCCCAACGCCTCCTAGGGGAGCAGTACCATCCCTGGAGGAGAACCACTGAGTAGTATGTGCTTTGTGTGAGGAATGGTTGGAATTGAGGATGAAGAGGGAGGTTTGAGTGCAAACAATAAAGGTCTTGAGTGCCACGTTAAGAAGTCTGGATGTTATCTGAGGGTTTTGAGTGGCTGTGAACTAAAGCAATTGCTTTATTTAAGATAATTCTTGAGGAAGTGCAGGAATGAGTTGGAGAAGGCTACTGTAATAATTGCAGATGAGACATCTTGTTCTGATGAAAAGTTTGTGGGTAGTGAATTTCAGAGATTTAGAATCAATGAGACTTAGTAAGTAACTAATTTCACAGAGTGAAGAGAGAATCAAATTTGATCATAGGGTTTCTGGCTAAGGTGACTGGGTGAATAGTTTTGCCATTAGCACAGATAGAAATATATAGTCTTTCAGGAACTTTGCATGTATTGATACTTCCATTTTATAGAATTATTTGGGTTGATAACTAGACAGACACAGCTCCCCCAAAGTATCTATACATTGATCAAATTTTTCAAATATGTGCCTTATCCTTAAAGTGTATGATTTGAGGTAGCTAATAATGTGTATTCTCATAGTTTTTGAACCACCCATAGGAGGATGGGGCCAACTTGAAGTGGATTCCTGTTCAGATTGCTTTAGACCACCTATGTGGTGGCGGTGGAGATTTGAGCCCATGACTGGTCTGTGTGGGTGTTTATTCTAGACTAACAGTGCAGAGGGAAGATGAGACAAGAGTTCAGATGGCTCGGCATTTATTCCAAGTTCTATGCTTAGCATTCTATACACTGTGTATGGACAGGAGGGTGACCACTGATGTTTTACTCCATCTGGGACACTGGGGACTGAAAGCAGCTTAACAACTGCTCTTAACAACTCTGCAGGGACATGGGGTGTCAACCAGGACTGTCTCGGGCAAACTGGGATGGGTAGTCATTCAACCATATCTCAGCCTACCAACAGAGTCTTCCTTAAAGAGACACTCTGAGACAGGGGCTAACACAGACATTTGGGCTAAGGTGATCCCTTTTCTCAGAAATGGCGAGGAGAGCAGTGACTGTAAATCAGGCTTAGAAAGAGAGTCTCCATGTGAAAATGAATTTGCCATGGTTATACTTATTGTAAGTGAATGCAATCAATGTTGCAATTTACTGACCTAGAAATCATTACTTATTTGGTACAAGCAGAAAGTGCTTATGAACAAGGCTCCTCTGAAGCAAAGTGAAAGTGGAAGATTATTTCTTAATTCTTAGTATATGACTTCAGATGACCACAGTTTGTTCTTAGTAATATTGGCTTTTTCATAGGTACTTGGCATATGTTGCATGTTATTTATATTTTATACAGAGGATGATACACTCCATTCTTTTTTGTTAGATTCTTTTGCCATATATAGGCCATTACAGTTTTGAGAAGAGTGTCCTGTGCTATTAGTAGGTTCTTGTTAGTTACCTATTTTATCTATAGGAGTGTGTATATGTCAATTCTAATCTCCCTATTTATTCCTCCCCCTACTTATCCCCTGGCAACCCTGAATTTGTTCTCTACATCTGTGACTACTTCTGGTTTGTAACTAACTTCACTTGTACCCTTTTCTGCTTCCACATATAAGCCACATCATATGACATTTGTCTTCCTAAGTCTGACATCAGTCAGTGTGACAATCTCTAGATCCATCCATGTCACTGCAAATGGCGTTATTTTGTTCTTTTCTATGGCTGACTAATATTCTGGCTTCTTTTCTTGACATTTTGTTTCTGTGCATGTTTATGTCTTTCTTTCCTTACAAATGTTTCATCCTGTCTTGTAATTTGTTTTTACTTGATGTGTTATGAACATTTTCCCTTGTCACTAAATATGAGTGCATATTTTCTACTGAATAGATAACCATAATATATCTAGCTAATTATCTACTGAAAATTTGCTTTCAGTTTTTACCATCATAAGCAGTTATATGAAGAATTTCCTTATATATAAATTCTTTTGCTTATACACACATATGTAGTTTTATGCATTTTTCTGATTTATTTTCATAAGATAAACTTTTAAACATAGCACATTTTTCCAGCTTTATTGAGATATAATCGAGATGCAAGCATAATGCATAGTTCAAAGACTTTTTCGTATATATTGCCAAATGGTCTTCTGGGAAAGTGCTGCCTGTTTACATATTTACTAATAGCAGACATTTTCCCTTGCTTCTCACCAACAATGGGTACTAGTGACAAAAAGTATAAAACACACCTTTTTCTTTTAATATGCTTTTCTGTGATACAAATGAAGGTAACCATTTATTTTTCACGTGAATATTGGCATTATAGAGTAGTTGCCAGAATCTTTGGCCTTCTTTCTTCATCTGTTTGCACAACTGTTTCCTTAGTAATATAAATAAAAACTTCAAATAAAGTGTAAAAGAGAATTATATATTCACAGATCATAAATGGAGCATTCAATGAATTACCACAAAGTGGACACACATATGGTACCACTACTCGAGAATAAATGTTAACAGCACCCCCGAGAACCCTCATTGTTTCCTTACCAATTACTCCCCTTTCTCCTCCTTCAATGAAACTGGTATGCTGACTTGTAACCAAAACCATGACGACACTAATTATACTAGCTGCAAATTGGAAACAACTCAAGTGTCCAAACAATAGTGTCTAAAAAAGTATATGGAGAACTGGAGATGAACTGCAACATGAAGCATGGTAAATACATCTCATAATCTGACACTGAATGAAAGGGGCTATAAAATAATGTGTTTATTTACAGGCTTTTCAAAAAATAGGTAAAATTAATCTATGGTGCTAGAGATATGCATTTATTGAACACTTACTGTGTGCTGACTTCAATCCTAGATACCTAGAGACAAAATAACGAGTAATAATTAGTTTCTGTCCTTGGAGTTGTTTATGGTGCAGTGCAGTGATTCTCTACCAGGGATGATTTTTGCCTACTAGAGAATATTTTAGTAGTGTTTGGAGACATTTTGGATATTACAGTGCTCCCGGTATCTAGTGGACAGAGGCCATGGGTACCACTCAACGCTCTGCAGTTCACAGGGCAGCCTCTTGCAACAAAGAATTACCTGGCCCAAAATGTCAGTACTTGTGAGGCTGAGAAAGCCTGGTCTAGTGGAAAGACAGATAGTTAATAAAGTGTATTATGTGGTAGAGGCTGCTAACTGTTTAGCTTCCATCCTGTGCCAGCTATGCTATTAGATGTACTTTTTCTCATTTTATCTTTCAAATAAATGTGGAAAGTAGGTTATGGTGTTTCTATTTTATGGATGAAGTTACCAACTGAGTAAAATACACTTTCTAATGTTTGGGATGGATTTCAGCAATGAAAGAGATGCCACTTAAAAAGACTGTGTGTGTTTTCAGAATTATTAGGATTCAGTATTATAGGAAGAAAAAAAGGGGGGAAAAATACATGGAAAGGTATGGAGTTACACCAAAAAAAAATCATTCATTTTGAAGTAAGATGCAGGTGGTTGAGTACATTTCTACTGTAAAACCAGAAATGGTGCAAGTTAGGTTGGTGGGGGCTAGGTCAGTGCAGACCTTATGTGCTAAATTTAGGTAGTAGAAATATCCTGAAAGCCACAAGCTGTCAATGAAGC